GGAGAAGAGGGAAAGACCGTGACAGTGCGCATGTGCCCCTCTTTCATGATGCTGCCTCTCATGGGCCCTGCTTCATACCCGAGCCTGAGATTTCATAAAAGTGGGGCTGTCCGGCCTAATGCTTGATGCAGCCCATTCACCGGAAATGTCTCATCTCCGCTTTTCCTCTGGACCCCAAACATCTCTGGGGGAAGCACTCGCCTTGTCCTTGTCTGACTTCACCCTGGACCCGACGATGGGGTCATTGAGCCACCCAGGCGCCCCTAAAATCCACCTTTTTAAAAGTACACATGCAGTTCAATAGTTTTGAATGTCTTCCCTAAATTGTGCAGCCATCACCCTTATCTAAGTCCAGACCATTTTCCTCACCCCGGAAAGAAATGTACCCATTTGTAGTCAGTCCCCGTGTCCCCCCTCCCCCCCCCCCCAATCCCCCGGCAACCACCCTAGACAGATTTGCCTGTTCTGGACATTTCATATGAATGAAGTCACATAATATGGGGCTTTTGTGACTGGCCTCCTTCGCTCAGTGTACAGTTTTCAAGGTCATGTTAGCCTGTGTCAGCATTTCGTTCCTTTTTCTGGCTGAATGATACCCCATGGAATGCACCTGACATCTTGTTTACCCACCCCTCAGTCGATGGACATTTTGGTTGTTGCCACTTTCTGGCAGTGCTGCTGTGAACATTCCTGGGCAGGTTTTTGTGCGGATGTAGGTTTCCATTCCCTTGGTTGCACATCTGGGAGTGGAGTCGCCCTGTAACTCTGTGTTTAACTGTTTGAGGGACTGCCAGACTGTTTCCCAAAGCAGCTGTCCCATTGTACATTCCCACCGGCAGCGTTAGCTCTTGTTACTTCCTGTCTTTTTGATTATAGCCATCCTGGTAGATGTGAGATGGGCTCTGCTTGTGGTTTTGATGTGTATTTCCCTGATGGCTAATGATGTTGCACTTTTCACATGCACATTTCACATGCACATGATGTTGATCTTTTCACATGCACATTGGCCATATGCATGTCTTTCTTTGAGAACTTTCTATTCAAATCCTTTGCCCATTTTAAATTTGGGTTGTCTTTTTATTGTCTGTTAATAGCTCTTTATATGTTGTGGATATTAGACCATTATCAGATGTATGAGTTGCACATATTTTTCCCCATTCTGTGGGTTGTCTTTTTCACTTTCTTGATAATGTCCTTCGAAGCACAAGTTTTTAATGTCAGTGATGTCAGATTTGTCTGTTTTTTACTTTTGTTGCTTGTGCATTTAGTGTCTAAGAAACCATGACCCGATCCAAGGTCATGAAGATTTACACTCATGGTTTCTTCTAACAGTTTTATTGTTTTAGATCTTAAATTTAGATCATGATCCATTTTGAATCAATTCTTGTGTATGGTGTGAGGTAGGGTTCCAGCTTCATTCTTTCACACATGGATATTCAGTTTTCGTACCACCATTGGTTGAAAAGACTGTTGTTCTTCCTATTGTATTGGCCCCCTGGTGGAAAGTCAGTTGACTCTAGGTGTGTTTCTGGCCTCTCAGTTCTGTTCCATTGGTATGTGTGTCTGATCTTGTACCACTCCTACACTGCCCGATTACTGTCATTTTATAGTAAGTTTTTAAATTAGGAAGTGTGAGTCTTCCAACTTTATTCTTTTTCAGGATTTCAATATTGGCTATTCTGGGTTCCTTGCATTTTTACATGAACTTAAAGATTAACTTATTCTTCCTGCTAAAAGAAAGCTGGGATTTTAATGGAGATTGTGCTGAATCTGTAGATCAGTGTGAGAGTGTTGTCAGCTTAATATATTAAATCCCTTATCCATGAACATGGGATGTCTTTCCATCTGTTGAGATCTTCTTGAATGTCTTTCAACAGTATTTTGTCTTTTCAAGCATTTAAGCCTTTGTTAAATTTGTTAAGTGTTTTTTTTTATGTTACTGTAAGTAGAATTATTTTCTTAATTTCACATTCAGATTGTTTATTGCTAGTATGTAGAAATATAATTTTTGTGTGTATGTGTTGATCTTTTATGCTGTAATCTTGCTGAACTTTTATCTTTATAGTTTTTGGGGTTTTGTGTATGTGGATTCCTTGGGATTTCCTATATACAAGTTCATATCACCTACATGTAGAGGTAGTTTTACTTCTTTCTAGTCCGGATGCTTTTTATTTCATCTTCTCTCCTAATTGCCCTGGCTATAACCTCCAGTATGGTATTGAATCAAAGTGGCAAGAACAGACATTCTTGTCTTATTCCTGATCTTAGGGGGAAAGCGTTCAGTCTTTCACCCCAAAGTAGGATGTTCCTGTGGTTTTTATAAATGCTCTTTAATCAATGAAGAAATTCCCTTCTATTCTGAGTTTGCTGAGTGTTTTTATTCTGAAGGTCATTGGATTTTGTCAGGTGCTTTCTCTGAGTCTGTTGAGATGATCGTCTCAATAAAAGCTTTGTCCTTTATCCTGCTAATATGGAATGGGCACTTTTTCCACTAGGGAGCCAACTGCCCAAGTATGAGCCCCCCCCACCCCCCCGCAGCTACACCACATATTTGCTGTGTAACTCTGGGCAGGAAGCTTCACCTCAGTGTACCCCATTTTCCTCTTCTGTAAAATGGGAGTGACAGTACTCTCTCATGGGTCCTTGTGAGGGGGCCTGAGTTGCTTTGTAGACTGTGTCATCTGGCACTTATCGAGTGCAGTTTCCTGAGAAGTTGTTTGTTATCAGTCACGTGTAAAAGTTTGGGTGGGCTGGGGTGGGAGGGGATGCTGATGGGGGAGGGGGGCCATTACAAGGCAAATCTAAAGGCCAGGCCAAGGCATCTGCTTTGAAAAATCTGGTGATGGGGAGTTTGGAAGCTCTTGCAGGAAGTAGCCTGTTGGGCTCCAGGGGTCTCTGAATCTTCCTTGGGAGGGTATGGGCCAAGGGGCTCCAGCCGCCTGTCAAAGCAGGTATGCACCTGTCTACTGCAGATTGAGGCCTTGAGGGTCACACTCTGGGTTGCGCTGCAGGGGCTGTGTGTTTACAGCAACAAGCTTTCCCATCCTGGCTCTGAGCCTAGGCCAGGGGTGCAGAAATGGGGCCTTGTTTAGGTAGTGACTTACAGCTGAGAGCCAGGACGTAGCCCCAGTACCTGCCCACCCTGATTTTCCTGACTTGTCTTTTCCTGGCCTGCCCTTTGAACCTCTGTCATTGACCATCATGTGACTTGGGGCAGGCGGCCTGTTTTGGCCTCTGCCCATGGAGATACTGTCACAGCAATTTGAGGATTAAAGGAGTTCTGTCTTTGGAAGGCCTGCAGCACCATCTGCCAGGGCTCAGCAGACGCTGCCCCCAGCCCACCTCCCATGGTCCCCAAGAAGCCCTGCGACCTCTGAAATCTGCCAACACCTAACATTTCTGCGCCTGTTTATGGAGTTTGGATTGGGGGATGGGTGGGTAAAAACATTTTTAATACACCCTGTGTAATTCTTGGCATTCATCTTTATGAGTTATATGAGGCTGGATCTGAAACCTCGGTTTAATGTACTGACCTTAGCCAGCCAAGTAGCTAGAAGCTTCTGGAGACAAGCCACATTGCTTGTTTACTTTTCGTTTGGTTTCCAAGTTTGGGGGGGCACCCCCACCTCACTAACGCTCAGCCTTTCCCGGCCCCTGTGCCCAGAAGAAGTACAGGGTGGTCCCACCTCCTGAGGAGCTGCTGGCCTGATCTGAGAAGGGGAGTAGACGAGAAGCAGTAATAACAAACCAGTAGTGTAATTTAGCAATCAGTAGAGAGCGTCCGGGCACATTTGGTTATCCCGCAAATCTTCTGTTTTGCCCGAACTCAGTGCCTGCCACCAGAAGTGTCCTGATAACCAGAGCAGGCCCGGTGTCCAGAGCTTTTCAGAAAAACCAAACGTGCCGAGGACCCACTGAATGGGCACCCCTCCGAGACCAGGGACTCAGGAAAGGCAGGGTGTGAGAAGGTGTCGGCGAGGGGGCAGGGCCGGGGCTGGAGAAGGGTCCTGAGTGCTGAATGAGGGAGAGAGGGAGGGACGGAGGGAGGGAGTCAGGAGTCCGGACCTGGCAGGCAGATGGCTGATGAGATGTGTCCTTTAGGTAGCGAGAGGGTAAGGGACCTGTGTCCCCAGGTGCAGGAATGCTTGTGTAGCCTTGGGCACGCGCTTTAATCTCCCTGACCTCAGCTTCCTTCTGGTGGGATTATTTTGCAGACTTCAGAGGTGATGCATGCAGTCCTTTGCACGGTGCTAGACACGTGCCAGGAGCTAAGCACGTGGCGCCGCTCCCGCAGACACCGTTAAGCCAAGGAGGTGAACGGTGGGAGAAGTCTTTATTGAACCAAGAAAATGTCCGTAGTTCATTGAGAGAGAATTTGGGTCACAAAACAGTATCCTGTTGTAAAGTTCTGCGTGCATAAATGCGTATATGCCTCAGGCTGAGAAGTTCACAGTTATAGTCTTATCTGTGAATGCATGTGGTTCTTACTTTTTGCGGGGGGTCAAGTTTTACACTTATCATAAATTAGTTTTGTAATTACAGAAATATTATTGGAAAATGTAGTTAAAGGGGCGCCTGGGTGGCCCAGTCAGTTGAGTGTCCGACTCTTGATTGAGGCTCAGGTCATGATCCCAGGGTCATGGGATAGAGCCCTGAGTCGGGCTCTGTACCGGTCGAGCCTTCTTGGGATTCTCTCTCTCTCCCTCCCTCTGCCCCGACCCCCTGCTCACGTGCGTGGATGCGTGTGCGCTCACTCGCTCTTCCTCTCTCTTTCTCAAATAAAAATTAAGAAAAAGGAAATACAGTTAAAGTATACGGTACCATTACCGTCGGTGTGTGTGTGTGCACGCGTGCACACTTGCTGTGGACTTGGGGGTGTGTGCTCAGGAAAGCAGGGCTGTTGAGGGTGGCCCTGGGGAGGTGGCTCTGTCCCAGGAGGTGGGCCGGGTGCGGGGGCTAGTGGGCAGACGTGCTGACGTGGGCTTCTCCGCTGTCCCCAGACGACAGGATCTGCTCGCCACCCTTCATGGAGCTCACGAGCCTGTGCGGAGACGACACCATGAGGCTCCTGGAGAAGAACGGCCTGGCGTTCCCCTTCAGTGCGTACCATGCCCGGGCCCCACTGGGCAGGCTGGCCAGGCCGCGGGACGGGTTGGGGCGGGGGGGTGTCTGTGCTCCCGGGATGCACAGAGGCCTTGGCTGCCTGAGGTCGGGTGGGGGCACAACGTGCTTCTCTGCCGGCCATTGTGAGTCAGTGTGTCCCCCGTTTGCCCCTCATCCCCGTGGGCTGCCGGAAGGCCACGAATTTCTCCCTGGGTCGCAGGTCGGGCTTCGTGGGCAATAACCTCACTAATTTCTCTCTGCTTCTTTCTCCCTGCCCCATAGTTTGTAAAACCAGAGTGGCTCATGGTACCAACTCTCACGAGGTGAGTGGAAGCTTGGACTGCCCTGTCCCCCTGGTCTCCCCAGCTCACGGTGTCTCTCTCCCTGGGAGCCCGCAGGGGTCTGTGTGCCGGATCCCACCCCCGCTGCAACTGCTCCCTGTCCTGCTCCTGGCTGTGGCTTTGTGCGTGCTCTCCAGCCTCTCCCCGTGCCTGTCCTGTCCCCAAGGGCGGGTTGGGTGTGCAGGGGCCTGCCCGTCCACTTCAAGCCGCAGCAAGTCACATCACATCCCCGTTTGACCTGTCCGACTTTCCAACCTTGAGCTCGTCAGTGTCGATCGCTTCCTGGGCACCTGCTGTGCGCCCGCGGCTGCCGCGGGCCCCTCTGAGTGCTGTGACTGGAAGGGCGCTGTCACTGCCAGCAAAGACCGGCTGGGCCTGCTGAACGTAGAAGGGAGCGGGGGAGGCGGTGGCACTCTACTTGCTAGTGTGTGGGGACTCCACCACCCCCTCCATCATTGCGGTGTTCCCCCGCGGGCATTCCCGGCCTCACTCAGTGCCGGGCGGGGAGCACACAGGAGGTGTATCCTGCCCCAGTGGTAGAGGCAGAGCCCCAGAGACGTCTCACCGGTGAGATAAGGTGCAGGACCGTAAGCAGAGGGGGTCTTCGGGGGTTAAGAGGAGCACATGGCCAGGCGGGGACTCCATTGGGTTGCCCTTGCTATCCCTTGGAGCCACACTGGGACATTGCCCTCAGGGCTTTCCCCCTACCCCCCACCCCCCGCCCATCTGCATTCCATACCCTTAGGGGCACAGCCCAGCCTGGCGGCCTCCCCGTTAGGCACCTGGGAGAGTGCACTGGGCAGTAGTCTCGGGCCCATCCCGGAAGGTCCTGTGAGGAGAGTCTGACCCAGTCAGGAATGTTCCCCAAGACCATAGGACGGAGCTTGGACAGCCCCCCAGCGGTGCCCGGGAGCAGAGCTGCAAGGCGGTCCTTACCCCTGGCACCCATTCGTGGCGAAGCGTCTGTAAGCAGACCGTGTCACTGTGACATGGGGCGTGGCATGATGGAGACTACCGGGCCGAGGGTGTGCCTCCGATTGTGGGAAGGAATGTGGGGGCAGCCCCTGGAAATGGCGGCCTGCTGCAAAGGTCAGCTGCCTCCTGAGGCCGGGCGCCCTTGGGGAGCCACCCCCGTCTGGGCCTGCCTGGGCTCTGGGCCAGGGATGTGCCCCATGCCAGGCCCTGGCAGGGAGCAGGAGTGCTTCAGAGCAGCCAGAGCCCCCGTTTCTCTTGGCACTGGCACCTGCCCACCGACCTTCGATCTGCCTCTCCTCACTGGCCCCGGTTCCTCTGTTGGCCAGTGCCCTGCGGGTTTCTGGATGGAAGGACCACTGATCATCATTAGTGTGATTAGACCGTCCCGGTGCAGGAGAGGTCAGCCCGCAGGGAGGAAACCCCTTCTCTCTTCACGAGAGAGCTCTGGAATCATGTGGACCTGGTGGCAGGTCCGGCTGCGTGTGCTGCCAGCCATGGGACTTGGGGCAGATTACCTGGCCTGAGTGTCTGTCTGCACTCATAAGTGGGGATAGGATCACAGTTGTCAGGGACGTGGGGGAGGCCACGCATAGGGAACCTGCTGCTACGGAGCCTGCTGGGCCGTGGGAGTAGTTCCACAGCTACAGACACCCACTGTCTAGGTCCACGTACACTCCCTCCTGCCAACGTGTGCGGTCAGCGCCCTCTGGGGAGGCTTTCACCCCTCAGTCTAGCTGTCTGAGTCTGGCTCCAAACCATACGCATGGGTACATCCCCCCCGCCCCCGTCTCCCAGCCCATGGTGTGCTGTGTCAGTGTGCTCCAGATGGGAACACAGCATCCGGGATTGGGGGCTGGAGACTCCCAGGGAGCCTGTGTGTGCTCTGGGCTGCCTGCCTCCTGGGAGGCTTTAACATCAGAGGGACACCCTCTTGAGTGGGGTGCCCTCCATGGCATGTTGGGGACCATGGCCCTTCCCTGATTCCAGGGTGCCCGAGGATTGGGTGCGGCAGGGATGGAGGACAGGTCTGTGGGCATGATTCGCTTTAAACAGGAAAGCGTGGCTTCTTTTTTTTAATTTTTAAAAAAATGTTTTTTTATTTTTGAGAGAAAGCATGGTGGGGCGGCGGGGTGGGGTGGGGGAGAGGAGCGCAGAGAGGGGAGAGAGGGAGACACAGAATCGGAAGCAGGCTCCAGGCTCTGAGCCATCAGCACAGAGCCCAACGCAGGGCCCAAACCCACAAACTGCAAGATTGTGACCTGAGACAAAGTTGGACGCTTAACCGACTGAGCCCCCCAGGCGCCCCAATAATGAGGCTTTCTGATTAGGGTCCTTACCTGTGCTGAGGTGTGCCTAAGCTCCCGCTCAGAATCCCAAGCTCAGCTAAAATCAACTAGCTTTGCCAAGCCACTCTCTTTTTATTTCCTGTTCACAGAATTGGTTTTTCTTTTTTTAGCCAGTCCATGCACACTGATTTCCTTGGTGGTGAAATCGCCACCCCCCATCTTGTTAAATCACTGAGCCCAAAGCTCAAAGTGCCCCCTGAAGCCATCGAGGTAGTTACTGTTGCTATTTTACAAGTGAGGAAAATGAGCTCAGGGCAAGTCCCCTACCCACAGCTGGAGCTGGGACTTAAGCCCATGTCTGGCTCCTCTGGCTCCAGAGCACCGGTGGGCTGTCCCTTCCTTGTCAGAAGGCTAAGAGACGGTCGCTGCAGCACACGCGCATAGGCACAGATAGGCACTCACACGTGTACACACACACACACACACAGATGCACACACTGTTTGCTTCCGTGTGTGGCCTGCCCCTCCGCCTCTGCCCTGCCCGGCCGAGCGCTGGGAACATTGGGGGCATGCTCCGTGACCACTGACGTCAGGGGCGGCTGCCAGCGCAGGCCTCCAGCTGTCCAGGCTCTGTTGTTCCTGCGCACGGTCCTGGGCATCTGGTGGCTCCTTCCTGGGGCCTATGGGCTGCGAGGGATTAGTCGTGGCCGCTGAGCTGAAGCAGAGATTTCCTCCAGCTGCGCTTCTGCCCTCCCTGCCTTAGGGGCCTTACCAGATCCTCTCAGTGGGGACCTTTGTTCCCAGAGGAGTCAGGGACTCAGAGCAGCACAGTCCCATTCCTCAAGCATCCGTGTGGTTCCCTCAGTGTGTGAGAGGCCGAGGCTGCAGCCGGGCCAACCCAGCCCCATCCTGGGCTCCGTCTGTTTCCAACAAGCCACTGGGCTTCTCAGGGCCTCAGCTTCCTCATCTGTAAAAGGTGCAGGATAATAGCGCCCACCTCAGAGAGGCAGCGTGAGGACAGCACGTGGTGACTCGCCTTAAGTGGTCAGGACAGGGCTGGGCGTGTTCCAAGTGCTCAACCAGAGGCCCTTACCCTTAGCCTTTGACCCAAGGCCTCCTAACTCCTGATCCATTGCCTCACACTCCCTGCCTCTCCTGGATCTTCGTGGAGGAATCTCCAAGGCTTTTGTAAGGATTGAATAGCATACAACTAGGGCTTCCATTCCTGGGATTACGGTGTGGACTTGTGCAGTGCACAGCCAGCTCAATCCCACATGGACAGCCTGATGGTGCAGGATTTCCAAACCCCCACAGCAGGAGCGAATTGACCTCCAGGTGTTCATTCTCAAGTCTCATTCCACTCACCCTGGCTCGAGATTCTTCCTGGGGAGCCCTCAGTCTGCAGGGATGGTTCTTGGCGGCAGAGCTCTGGCCAGGCGAGGTGGCCCTGTGTCTGAGGCTGAGTAGGTGGTGGATTGTGACAGAGCCCGTGGCCCCCTGTCCCTACAGATGGCCATCGTGTTCAACCAGGAGGGCTTGAGTGCCATCCAGCCGCCCTGTGTGGTCCAGAACTTCATCAACCACAACGCTGTTTTGTACAAGGTGTTTGTGGTGGGCGAGTCGTACACCGTGGTCCAGAGGCCCTCGCTGAAGAACTTCTCCGCTGGCACGTCAGGTGAGCAGGCTTCCCGCCGTCTCAGGGGCCCGGCTGGGACAGGACATCAGCTGTCCGTCCTGCCACACTTACCCTGGTTGCTTTGGAGGGGCCGGGGACGAGGTGGTCTGCAGGGTGGAGGAGGCGTGTGCAGTGGGTGAGGAGGTCTTGGAGAACGAGGGTCATCGTAGGGGCTTCACCCATCTGAGCCACCGTAAGCTCCGGGACTCCTCCGAGAGCTCTCTGTGCCCAGGACGCTTTCCTGGGGGCCCCACAGAGACGAGACTCACGAGCAGCATGCCAGAGTGCGTGATTGGCCCTTCAGGGAAGCAAGGGTTTGGGACAGGGTACCCCGAAGTTTGAAGGCCAGAGTGCTGACTGCTTCCTCGTGTCTTCTTTTTCCACGTGGGGAAACACAGTTATTTGCTGCTTCCGCGGCCACTGAGTTCACGTGTGCTCTGTTAGCGGTCACACGGGGTCACGGCACTTCGTAGTTGTGGGGCCTCGGGTGGATACCTGTGGGCACAGCCACCCCACCGCGTCCCCCCCTTACAGGGGTGAGGACCGAGTGAGCATGCTTTGGATGCGAAGCATCCCTCAGATGGTCACACGGGTGGTGGTGTTTTTAGGGTTCTGCCATCATTTGGGGCATTTGAGGGGGTCCTGTGAGGAGGCTGAGGGGCTAAACAGCTCAGCTTTAAATTTTTGAGTTTATTTATTTAGGGAGAGAACACGAGCAGGGGAGAGGCACAGAGAGAGACAGACAGACAGACAGACTATCCCAAGCAGGCTCCACTCTGTTCAGTGCAGAGCCTGACTCAGGGCTCGAACCCACAGACCACAAGATCGTGACCTGAACCAAAACCCAAGAGCCTGACCCTTAACCGACCAGCTGCCCAGGCACCCTGCTCGGCTTCTTTTTTTAGCTACTCTCCTGACACCAGCTGAGTCTTGGTCCTTTCAGACACTGACACTAAGATAAGGAGTTGCTGGTGTTGGAGTTGCTCAAAGGAATGTTCTGGTGGTTCTGAAGGCAGCTCCGAGGCACGTTCCAGAAACCTCTGGAGCAGAGTAATAAGCACAGCATTCTAAGAGGGCTCCCAGCAGGGCATCTGGTTGTCCTCACGTGGTGTGCTCAGACACGCGTACACGTGTCTCTGCAAGGTCCCCCCCCCCCCAGCCCCGTCATCAGACGTGGTCAAATAGTGGGCCGTTCTGTCTCCATCTGAGCCAGCAGATGTGACGTCTTAAAGTCCCCCCTGCTGGGGTTGCCTGTCACCATCCATCCCCGGTGGCTTTAAGCCACTCCGCTGGAATAAAGTTCAGCTGTTCATCCCCGGGACAGCCTTTTTCTTGCCATTAACACAGCACAGGGAGCAGATGCTTTGAAAATGTGCGCCCATGTTCACTTCCTTGCTGGGTGCACACAGCCTTCCCAGCCAGGCGTGGGGCTCCAGGACTCGAGGCTGCGTCGTCAGGGTCGGGGACGTCCCCATCATCACCCTGGTCCCAGCCCCTGCACACTGGGATGATGGTTATCTGGGGTGAGAGGTCTGGAGGGGTCTTTTCGCATATGACTATAGACCAGCGGGAGGCATTCTTATAAACTGTGGCCTGGAAACTGGGCTGGAAATTGTGGGCTGGAAGAGACTCTTTTTAAAAATCATCTATTTTCTCTGATTTTTAAAAAGTACATGCTTTGAGGCTGTGGAAAATGTACCTTATGTAGCCTCCTTTTTTTTTTCTTTTTTTATTAAAAAAATTTTTTTTAACATTTATTTACCTTTGAGAGACAGACCATAAGCGGGGGAGGGACAGAGAATGATGGAGACACAGAATCTGAAGCAGGCTCCAGGCTCTGAGCTGTCAGCACAGAGCCCGACGCAGGGCTCGAACCCACAAGCCGTGAGATCATGACCTGAGCTGAAGTCNGTTTTATATCATTGGAAAGGGGTCTCAAGGAAGGATTCTCAGACAGCATAGAGCACCTCGCGCCTAGCAAAGCTTGGAGGAGGACGAAAATGTTATGTTTCCCCACATCTCACTTTCACCCAGTCCTACTTCTCTATAAGAATATCATTTGGATGAGGGCGCCTGGGTGGCTCAGTCGGTCAAGCATCCGACTTCAGCTCAGGTCATGATCTCATGGTTTGTGGGTTCGAGCCTTCGTCGGGCTCTGTGCTGACAGCCAGCTCAGAGCCTGGAGCCTGTTTCAGATTCTGTGTCTCCCTCTCTCTCTGACCCTCTCCTGCTCACGCTGTCTCTCTCTCTCTCAGAAATAAATAAACCATTAAAATTTTTTTAAAAAATAAAAAAGATTAAAAAAAACCAATATCATCTGGATGAATGACTGTTACTAATGCACCTTTGTTCTCAATGTGTAGGGCCGGCAACAACATAGAGAACTAAAGTCAAAGTGAAATGTGAACCCGGCAACGAGAAGAGCTGGGTGGAAAGAGACAGGCAGTAGAGAGATCTTAGCAGATATTTTCTCTGGTTTCCTTGGTCAAACACCACCATTCCCTTTCATCACTGAGTTAATCGCCTTTGACTTCTTCACAGCCTCTCTCTTTATGCAATCCAGAATAACGTTTGATTTCTTTTATTGCTCCAGATCTTGGTGCCAAAGGCATTAAAATTTTATCTGCCTTTGCACTCAGACTCCTCCTCCAAGCCTACTGCCTGTGACCGTGAAGGGTCTGTTTTACCTCTGAATTTCTTGTCTCTAGTCTCATTACCTTCTTTGTCACTACACTGAATTGGATAATTAAATTACCTCCTCTCCCGGTGGAACGCTTAGACTTTTATTGTCCTTACTGACCACCTTTACTCCTGCCTCAGACACCTCTGTGCTCTTCAGAACCCACTGGGGTTTCCCTCACTCTGTGTGGGGGGACAGGGGTCCCCTGAGACAAGGGCGCTCAACTCAGCCCCTACACGTCTTCCCTGTGGGTGGAACGCTCACCCCTGCCCTAGTCCCAGGTTCAGGGACACAGTCATCACTCACCAGCCTCCTCCAGGAATGGATCTCCCAAGCTTTTGCAGAAATGACCACATATAATGTGATGGAAGGGACTCCTGGAATATCTACCCCCAGATAACCATTACCACCAACATCTGACTTTATGGGAACCTTTCGACTCTATACAAAATGAAATAAAACCCAAAACTCTGGGGCCATTGTTCTTTATTGTGATTCTAACAAGTATTAATATTATTCATCTGGAATTTGATGGCCTCAGTCCAAAATGACCATCCATTTCTCTTCCTACACAACCCATAGTTCCGTGGCTTCTGGCTGCATCTTATAGCTGCTCACCGAGCATGTCCCCCTCCACTGAAACGTAAACTCCCTGAGGCAAGGACCACAGACATCTTACTCATCTACACACCTCCCCAAATAGGAAGCATAATGCCGATCTTGTGGCAAATGTTCAATATGTATGAACATTCTTTCCTTACAGAAGGAACATAGGCAGGAAGAAGAGAGAGGAGTCAAAGATAAGGTGTGTCTAATGCTATAAGACAGCTAGGAGCCATCACTGACTGTTTGCTCGTGGGATTCTCCACCCCCCGCCAAAATCTTTTGCTTTTCAAATCCTCCCTTCTTAAGTTCCTGTTATTTATTATTCAGGTGTGTTTGCATATGTTCTTCCTTGGACTGAAGTCTCTAACGGTTTTTTCTATTTTCCATGCTTCATTTCTTTTCTTTTTTTTTTTTTTAAATTTTTTTATATTTTTATTTATTTCTAGGAGACAGAGAGACAGCGTGAGCAGGGGAGGGTCAGAGAGAGAGGGAGATACAGACTCAAACAGGCTCCAGGCTCTGAGCTGGCTGTCAGCACAGAGCCCGACGCGGGGCCCGAACCCACGAACTGCGAGATCATGACCTAAGCAAAAGTTGGACGCTTAACCGACTAAGCCACCCAGGCGCCCCCCCTCTTTTTTTTATTCTTACCAAAATCCCCTCTACCTGTAAAAAGTTTCCTGCCAGATTTCACTCCTTTCCAGACAAAGGAAAGGAAATTTTCTCCTTTTCCTCCTGCTTACAAAGTGCTGGGCCAGTTTGTGTGTCAGCCCCCGGAGCCGTTGGCAGCGGGCACAGGCTCTGCGCCCGGTGGCTTGAGGATGAGGCTCCATGTCTCTGTTTTCTTGTGACCACACACAGGTTGCCAGCTTTCCGTAACATGTAGGCTGGGGAGTAGATAAACACAGAGCTAATGCAGAAATGTGTATTATGCCCAGGCAAGCTCAGTAACCTTCAGTGTGTCCGTCCGTCCATCCCCAAAGCCAATGTCATGTCTGCAGTCTCCAGGGCATCGTGCCAGGGAGCTGGTGTGGGCTTTGTTCTCTTCATACGCGTGTTCTTTCCAGATCAGAAGCATGACTCGACAGTGGCCCTTTAAGCTGGACCAGTTGAGCAGGGCCTCTGGTGCTCTGGCCTCTTTCCAGCCCCAAGTGGCCTACAGCCTCCCCATCCACGCAGGGAGCTGGGGGCTCCCTGAGCGGGGTTCTTCAGGACCTGGGCCAGGGGAGCCAGGGACACTAGCCTTCCCTCTGTAGCTCCCGTGCTCTGTTGATTTTCAGGGGCACTTTTGGTTTTGCCTGTTAACATCTCTGAAGTCAGGTGATTTTTAGAGCCAGTGGCATCCTGTAGTTGCTTCAGCTGGGGTGGAAGTCAGGATCTTACTGAGGGGGTTGGGGTTGGCCTGTGTCAGCCGCTAGGAACACGTATTCTCTGCCTGTTGTTCACAGTTGGGGAGATCGCTCCTCTGTCTCTACCCAGTGCCAAGACCGAGATAGGCACCACTCTGTGTTCCCCCTTTTGCGGAGTGGATTTACTTTTGTTTCCTTCACTGAGTGGACTAGTGCCTTTATTCACCCTGTCTTCCTGGGCCTCTTTTCCCTTCGGGGTACATCGAAGAATGATATCACTTCCCATGTAGAGCCAGGGTCAGCAGACTTTTTCTGCAAAAGCCTAGATAGTAAATATTTCCAACTCTGTCATAATTATTTAGTGCTGCCCTTGCAATAGGGGAGCAGCTGTAGACAATATGTTAGCAACTGGGCATGGTTGTGTTCCAGTAAAACTTTATTCACAAGTGGCAGGTGACAGGCTAGATTTGGCTGTCAGTCTCTGGTTTGCCGATCTGTCATCTAGAGACCCTCAAGGGTAAGGGATGCCGTATTTCCTTGAGCCTGCCGTGTGCCCAGCCCTGTGCCTGGTACTGATCCAGGAAATAACTAGATAGTCAGCCAAGCACCCTGGCCTCCCGTGTTTATATTCTAATGGGAGAACCCACACATGTGGAAAGAAACCATAAAAAGATCCATCGTGGCACACAGATGAAGGGCTACAGTGTGGGCCCTGGGACACCGCTGGGCCAGGGACCCAGAGCTGTGTGTCTGTGGAGCTGACACTTGGGTGGATGTGGCCCGTCATCTGCAGCACTGTGACGCACCCCCCTCCGCAGAGATGCACGTGAAGGTTAAGCAAATAAAGCTGAAGAAAGTGCGGTCCCTGCTCGTAACTGCTGAGTTACTGGAATATTTGGGGATTAAATTTATCATTTACTCTGTTGTTTTGAACCTGTTCTTCTCATCTATAAATCAAGGGCCAAAGGCACCCGTCTTCCCGTCACTGCCTTCCGGCCCCTGCAGGGTGCTGGTGGTGGTCCCTCACTCGGGCGTGTGTCTCAGGACCCGTCCAGACACCTGCAGTGGACGGAACCCCAAATCCAGGGTGGGCCTGTGATTGAGGTGTAAAGGTCTAGCCAGGTCTGGCTTTAGAGGGACTGGGTATCATAATGCTCCCCGAGGAACTGGCGTCAGAGGACACATGACCGCTCTGACCTGTCTCGGCTTCTCAGTGTCCTGGGCCAGGGAGTGTCTGGAAGTTGCCCACACCCCCTTTGGCCACTAACCAGGCCACACATAGGTGGTACCTGAGCAGACGGCACCCCCCGCCTCCCGCTGCCACTGTCCTTGCCGAATAGCCCTCTGGCCTGAGCCCCCAGGTCAGAGTTAGCCAGGAGGAGAAACAACCTCCTTTGGAAACAGTCCACATTTTTGATTGGTCGTCCTGCCACACTAAACCATTGGGTGGCGTGGTCTGTTGAGTGCAGTGAGTGCTGGGTGTGCCTTTGAGTGCCCAGCCTCTCCCCTTCCTGGCAGAGTTAAGCACCCTCGTGTTCCCTTGTGGCTCCTACAGGCTTCCTAGCCTCCCTGAACTTAGCTGTGTCTCCCTGCTCTGTGTGGGCCCCCTCCCCAGGCTTGCTCTGCTACCCTTGAGGACCCTGGGGTGGGGGGAGGCACCCTGAGCTTGGTGGGTTGGGCCAAGCTGGGCTACAGGGCACAAAGGTGGGCGGCGCCTGCAGAAGGCCAGAGCACCCGTTGCAGCTGCTTGCGCCCCACTCTGACCTCCGGCCCACAGGGCTTGCCGCCCCCGAAGGCACCCTCTTCTTGGCTTTGGGCTCCCAGGAGTAGAGATCGGCGGGGCTTCTTGGTGCAAGTCCCGCAGGGTGTTTATTTTCCCCAGGCTCCTCCCCAGGACCGTCTCTCGTGCCCCCCGTCTGGACTGGCTCTGGTCGGAGCGGCGGGAGGACTGTCGGGCATGCCGGGGCGGCAAGGGGCCTGTGTGCCCCAGTAGCGGGAAGGACGCCAGGTACATCTCAGCGCCTGCCTGCTTGGCCTCCACCCGAATCACTTCCTCATGCATGATTGTTGCGGCGCTGTAATCCTGGAGCTGGTGGGGGTCATTGGCAGTCAGAGCAGGTGCCCCGCTGTGGCCCGGCCCCTGCACGCCATGGTGCGCGACCAAGGCCCTTCCGGTCCTGAGCTTGGGGACCTGGGTCCCAGGCATGAGCAGTATGCCCTGGGGAGGGAGCCACAGTGTCCCGCTCTGGAAAGACTGAAGCAGAGGCTGCTGGGGCCACGTCGCAGCTCATGGCCCGGGACACCTCCATGTCATTCTGGGTGGGGGTCATGGGGTGGAGCTCGTGGTTTTGTGATTCTTGCATCTGTGTGCCCATGCTTCCATGTGCTCGAGAACGTGTGTGACCCACCGAGCGTACTTCAGGGGACGGACGGACAGACGAACCAGCTGCCTACTGCTGTCATTATTCTTGGGATCGGTCTGCCCCTCGGGGTGCCCCAAGGGGACTGAGGGTGCAGTGGGCGATAACATGGGTCAGGGAAGTATGGGGGAGGGGGAAGGGGAGCGTATTTTGGGGGCCCGTGCCAGCTTCCAAAGCCAAACAACTATTCTGTATGGTTTCCTGGATGGATCCTATAGAAGCCTGTGTTCTGATTTCCTATTTTTCCCCCCTAAATAGTTGGGAAACAGCAGAACCCTTTGTATTTGAAACACCCCCGTGCCAAGTGGCAGCTTGGGCATTTCTCACGTGCTACCCTGAAAAGGAGTTCCCCGAGCTGATACTGGGAGGGGCTGGGAATACTGGATTAAGTGGCATTTACTGGCCCTCTCTCCTTGGGGCCTCTGATATTCTGGTACACTGCATGTCCCAGTCACTTGGCCACCACCCCGTCCCCTTTCTAGTGCCATGTCCATAAGACACACTGGACACACTTTGGGAAGGGGGCCTTGGGTGTGGGAGAGAACCAGACAGGATACCGTAAGATCATGGCAGAGGCAGGCTCATTTAGGCAGTTATTTTTGCATGGGAGGAAGACTTGGAAGGGGAGCCCCGATGGGGCGTTTCCATCCATGGGGCAATGTCTCCTTGTTGTGGGGATGCCCGGCTCACTGGGGCCCCAGGTCTGCTGCTGTTGGATGCTGAACCCTAAGGCCACCGTGGCCGTGGCTGGAGTGGTGCTGCCCCCTGGTGTCTGGTGGTGGAGTCACCCTCGCTGCTTTAAGCTAACTCTGGCTCCTTCCTGTCTTTGCTGTTTCAGATCGTGAGTCCATCTTCTTCAACAGCCACAATGTGTCGAAGCCGGAGTCATCATCGGTCCTGACCGCGGTAGGTTCCTTCCCTGACGCCCCTGGGTGTGCGCAGGCTGCTGGTGGTGGGGCCAGGCCTGAGCTCCCGCAGACCAGGGTGGAGGGACCTTCATGTCCCCGCTGGGGGCAGAGACCCCATTCCTTGGCTTGCTTCAGGCCTTCGTGCTGAAGGCCATCATAGCCACTCCCGTTTCAGTTACTCCCCATGGAAGCTCTTCTCACTTTTCTCCCAGAATGAGGACTCCCTCCCCCTACATCTCCCCCTGTCATGATGAATTTGGAGACCTGCTTTCTAATCTTCCTTTTTCCTGATTTAAGAAAAGGGGTGGGAGGCAACACCATCTCAGCTTTCCTTGCTCTTTCCTTGTCCACGTGAATCCAGCAAACGTTGTTAAGAACCTGCTGTTACTTCCGGTGGGGGAGGGGGCACCAGCCTCGCTCGGGGCAGCCCTTCGGTGAACTTCACTGTGTCAGGAGCCGCCCCAGACGCCACGCAGCATCACAGCCAGGCCTGGGCACAGCCGAGCAGGAGCAGGGCAGACAGCCCCGTTTTCCTGGGTGGGGAGGCTAATGTTCTGTGAGGTTCAGTAACCTCCAAACTTACCGGGCCCTTCACTCAGGGGCCAAGCTAGGGTGCGACCCCGGATTGGTCTGATTCCAATGCTGGGTCGTTCGGGAATGTAGGATTTCTTATCACTCTGGTATGTGCAGTGCAATCTTTACCGAGAGCAGAGAATTAGAAATTGGCATGGGGCAGCTTCTTAATGTTTATTTATTTTTGAGGTGGGGGCAAGTAGGGGCAGAGGAAGAGGGAGAGACAGAATCCAAAGCAGGCTCCAGGCTCCAAGCTGTCATCACAGAGCCCGACATGGGGCTCAAACCCACAAACCATGAGATCGTGACCTGAGCTGAAATAGGCCTTGGGACAGCGTCTGCCCACCCTCCCAAGTCCAGTGAGCCAGTGGCCTCTGCCGCCACGTCCCGTGACCTTGGAGCCCTGTGCCTCGTCTCCTGCTTCTGAGTCATGGCCGTTCCAGCTAATCTGGGAGGATTTGGCCGTGTTCTAGGCTGTTCTCATCGACAACGTCCACAGTAGGCCCCTGGCCCTGGCCTCACCCCACCCTTGCTTCCTGGTTAGGGGCATGCACTTGCCTACCACCTCCTGCCGCCCTGCTCTAGGCCGCCTGCTCGCTTCTGGTTTGTGTCTGGTTCCTCTGAGGAGCTGGCTGTGTGCAGAGGGTTTGCAGCGTAGGTGTGGACAGGGACCTGGAGGGAGCACCAGTGTCCCTCCGGAGGCTGCTAGATGTTCCCCCAGGAACAAGTCCCATGCTCTCCGAGGAAGCTTGGAGAACAACCAGATTTTAAACAGAATCTCTCAGCGCCTGGCTGTGTGCACTGTAAGTGGTGAGAAGCTGTTTTGTGCAAGGAAAGGTTTTCTGGCCTTCTGGCCTTCAGAGACTGTGGGCTGGTGCAGTTCCTCAGGGCCTCTTCCTGAAGGGCCCTCGGACCGTGTTTGGCCAGTGGCACTGGCTGGGGAAGGGTGGGCATTCCACAGACTTCTGGGAAGCTGCGCCTGCCAGTCCCAGCATGGCTCTCATGGCCCCTGGGGCTGTTCATTGATGCCAGAGGGTCCCAGGCAACCTCCTTGGATAATCACCTGTCTGCTGCTTGGCCCGGTTCTTTGTCTGTGAGATGGGAGAGCATAGGACGTTCTGGGCCTCCTCCCCACCCGTGCTCCATCGTCCTCTCCCTCTCCTCGGCTCGGCACTGCTATTCCGGAAGCCTCCAGGAGAGTCCCGTGTAAAACCAGGCAGCGGAATGGCACCCAGCCGCACCCTTCTTGTTCGAGACCTGAGCCCCTCCTGCAAACCCACAGGCCAGTCTGACACAGACGGTCCGACTCCAGACTCTCCTCCTCGCTTCCTCCCTCTCACTGTCAGGGCCTCGTGCAGATGCGGGGAGCCCTGGCCTGGCCTTGAAGCCTCACCTGTTTCCCTGGCTGGAGGCCCCTGAGGGCGAACCCCACTCCCACAGCCAACTTACAGGCCCTCAAACGCTGGTACGTAGGGTGTTGGCTGAGTGTACGGACGCCAACAGGACTGGCTGGCGTCAGACCCAAGCTCCACAACATTTCGGCCGCATGGCCTGGGAGCCCCGCTGCCTCCCTGAGCGTCTGTTTCCCCAGCCTACCCTGCAGGGCGGTCATGGGATTCGGGGAGCCCACACGGTGCCAGGTGTGCAGGGAGCGCTCAGCCCACCGTGTGGGGGAGGAGGGTGATCGTGCTGATCCGGAGGACCACCCTCACCTCCTCTGTCGCCCCCCGCCACCGTTTCCCAGAACATCACTGTAGCCTTTGTGTTTACAGCCCAGAGGACAGGATTTCCAGGCCTTTATCTTGTCCTGGGATGGCTCTTTAGTTCCATATCATCAAGCTGCTTCAGGAGGATTTCTGAGATGCCTTAGCTGAGCTGAGAAAGTGCTTCTGTAAACAGCGTGTTAACACAGCAGCCGTACCCCACCCCCTTCTGGTGGGCCTGTGCTGCCAGCCTTAAACCCTAGCTTCTCAGATCCTGCGTCCCGAGGTGCAGGTATTTTTATTCCCCCATTGCTTGGAGTGAGAAAACGAGACCCAGAAGTGTGCATTACGGCTCAGGGTGTGCAGGAGGGACTGGGCTGTGCCATGGCATCTGTCTGGCTCTCTGCCCTGGGGAGGACCCCGGGCCATGGGTCCAGTGGCTGAGCCTCTGGTGAAAGGAACCGTGAAGGGGGTGCCTACCCAGGCTTGGGCCAGTGCTAAGTGACAAGGGTTTGTCACAGCCTGTCTGGTACTATGCCCTTAGAAAGTATTTCCTCTGATAGGAAGGCAGCAGGGTCGTGGGCTTGAAGGCCCCACCGGTTTTGCAGGGCCCGCGGGCGTGGCTTCACCGTGGACCACTGAGGGTGCCTGCTGTGGGCTCCTCACTCCCGGCGTGTGTACAGGTTCCCCATCAGCCTTTTTAGCTACCGGTGCCGGGGTGAGGGCCATTTGTCCTTGGTGCCCAGGGCTCTGTCCCCAGCCCTCCTGACTCAGCTTCAGTTTCTTTTTTTTTTAATCAGGTGAAATTCACATAACACACAACATAGCCATTTTCAGGTGAATCACCCAGTGATGTTTTCTATATTCACCATGTTGTGCAATCACCACCTCTACCAAGTTCTGAACCATTTTTGTCACCTCAGAAGAAAGCTCTGTACCCGTTAAGCATTCCCGCCCCCTTCCGTCTTCTTCCCAGCCCCCCGGCCACCACTAGTCTGCCTTTCATCTCCATGGACCTGCCTGTTCCGGGCCTTTCATGTTAACCTGTAAATATTAACGTGTAACATAATTGTGTTTGGCTTCTTACGCTTAGCCTGACGTCTTCAGGGTTCACCCACACCGCACCATTGTATGGCTGAATAATGTTCCATCGTGTGGGTAACATAACTTGTTTATCCACGTTTTGATGGACGTTTTGGTTGGTTTCTACCTTTGTCCAGTGCTATGGACTGGCTACAGCTGCCTGTTCAGTCTTTTGGGTACATATTCCACAGTTCCCAGGTATGGAATTGCTGGTCACATGGTACTTCTGTGTTAAAAGCTTTTGACCCAGCATCAGTTTTATTTCTGCTGGATCACTCCCTCTCCTTCTGCTTTGGCCCCTGAGCCCCATAGCCCCCAGGACCCTAGTATTTACTGAGCACTTCTTATAACCTTCTCCTGACTCAGAGGTAACACAGTGCCATCCCCTCTCTGGAACGCAAGGGTAGCACCTCCTCCCAGGGAGGCAAGCACTGATCCCGCCACATCAGGGACCTCCCCATGCCTCCCAGCAGAGGACAGAGGCCTTGTGGGTCCCGTTTTACAGATGAGCAAACTGAGGCACAGTGAGGCCAAGTACTTCTCCCTAGGACCACAGAGCTAGAAAGTCACCATCAGGCTTCAAATTCTTGTTCCCTTGATCCCACATCCTTCTCAAGGTTCCCCTTCCTCCGTGGCCCTTTTAGAAACCGAACTTGAGCCCGTGAAAACCTGTGTGGCTGTCCCAGGCTGTCTGGGACGAGAGCAGAGGACGTGGGGGGTGGGGCAGTCCTCCCAGCTTGCTACAGAGACTAGAGGGGCCGTGCACACTGCACACTTCGTTCCTGCCCAGCTGCCTGAGGGTGATGCCAGGCTTGCGGCACCTGACGCAGGGTCTCGGTGTGAGGCGTGGCATTGCATCTCCCACCAGCGGCCTGACCTGCCTTGTGTGTGTGTATTGGCAGCTGGACAAGATCGAGGGTGTGTTCGAGCGGCCGAGTGACGAGGTCATCCGGGAGCTGTCCCGGGCCCTCCGGCAGGCGCTGGGCGTGTCCCTCTTCGGGATCGACATCATCATCAACAACCAGACGGGGCAGCACGCCGTTATCGACATCAACGCCTTCCCAGGTGAGCCGTGGAGCCAGCAACCCCCTTCGTCCGTCTGCACCCTGGCGTCCCTCGGCAGCAGGGCAGGCGGGCCGGTTGATCAGCTCCCTCCCTCCCTGTTGGTGGGGCCTGGGGTAAACACGGTCCCGCGAAGCCTCAGCCCCACCTGCAAAATGGGTTCACAGCGTGTGGTGAAGCTGGCAAACAGGGTCGTGCATCCAGCCAGGGTGAGCGAACACTGGGCACCTCGTGGGCTCACACTGAGCCCCTTCTCTCCCTTCCTCACCTGATCCCGCGTGACTGGCAGTGGCCTTGGCCGAGCCTCGGCTGCTCTGTCGGGCTTGTAGATTTCAGGAGCTGAAGGGACCCCAGGGAGAGTATGTCCTCCACAGTGCACGTGCAGGGAGTCAAGTTCCCCAGGGAGGGAGAGATTACCCCGCGTCACAGTACAGGTTGGTGGCGGGGCCGTGCTCCTGCCCTCGCCCTGACCCGTGGTGCTGGGGGCTGGCCCTGGAGCCGGCCGGCTCCCTGTGCAACAGCACCCGCTCCCTGCTCTCTGCAGGAACCTGAGGCAGGCAGCGGGTGCTGGGGCCCCCGGGGCTGCCCCGCACTCCTCTCGTCTCGCAGCAGAGGGCTCGGCAGGAGATAGCACCCAGAGACCCCTCAGTGGGGCTGTTAGCCTACAGGGATGATGGCCGTGATGTCCCCAGCAGATGTGCCCCGGAATGAGCCCACTCTGCCTGGGGACACCCTGAGGCTGACTCGTCCACCCGCCCAGCTGGCTTTGACTCTCCCCTTTACTTAAAGTAGCTGCGGTGGAGGTAAAGTTGCTGTCACTGCTCAGTGGGTATAAAAATGTTCAGGAAACAATTCATAGCTCCAGGGAGGTTAGCAGCGCCAGGAGCACCCATGGGTGGCATGCAGGGGCCACTCAGAGGTGTTTGCAGGGTGCAGGACAGGACCTCATGTGCGGGGTGCGGAGCCTGACTTTAGGTCGTGCAGCTCGTGGGTGTCAGGCTGGGGGCCTGACCTGTGTCCCCTTGTACTCCTGAGGCCCCTCCACCATCACAAGTCACAGCCAGGGAAACCGAGGCTGGGAGGACACAACTGGCCCCCTCAGTCATTCAGTTGACATTTATCGAGGGCCTGCTGTGTCCAGACTAGACACGCGGGTACAGCGTGACGTTGACGGCCAGAGCCCTGCCCTCGGAAGACGGGGTGCCCAGGGGCTCCTTTCTTGAGGTGGTGATATTGGAGCAGAGCCCGGCAAGGAGGGAGGGAACTACCCCCCAGGGCTCCGGGAGGGGCTGGGACCAGGAGACCAGGGAGGAGCCCACCAGGTGCCGTGCTGAGAAGGTGGGCGTTAGCTCTGAGCTGGGCCAGAGCAGCTGGCTGAGGCCAGCACTCCTTTATAGAAATGCAAACCCATGGGGACAATGGCCTGTGTCCCTCCAGTCACCCTGGGCGCAGCCTGGATGGAGACTTGGGTGTTGCCAGAGGTGGGGCTTTGACGAACAAGTGACGGGAATGAGAGAGCCCAAGGGAATGCAGGGCGTGTCAGGGGAGCAATTATAATGAATCAGAGGATCTAATAAACCGGGGAGGACATGGGGGCGAAGAGGTAGCTGAGTCAGCAGAGTGGTGGGACTGTTGGGGCAGAAGTTCTAGAAGGATGGAGATGGGAGGTGGTGAGAGCATGAAGGTCTGCCCTTGAGCTTTGGCTTTGTGCAGGGTCCTGAGTCGGCCCCTCCCAACATGTGCAGTGTGGGCTGGGTGTCACGAGGGTCCATGCAGAGGCAGAGGAGAAGGTGTCGGCACAGTGCCTGGCCCTGAGCTGGCGCCCCGCAGGGCCAGCTCAGCTCAGCCTATTCTCCCCGGGCATCGGAGCTGGCACCTGGCTGCCGGCCAGTTCGGGCCGACCCGAGGGGCCAGCGCCAGTGTCCGTCCCTTGGCTTTGGTGCTGCCCAGGGCACATGGCACAGAGGGCTTCCCTGCAGGTAGTTTGGGCATGAGAAGGCAGCAGACTGTTCCGGGGCGTAGCCGCTCTGGATCAGGGGTCTCCCTGGGCATGCCCACAACCGCCTCCCCCCACACCGCCCCCGAGACCCCTCAGCTGACACAGGAGGACGCTGAGGCTGGGCCATGTGGACTAGATGGCTGTTTCTGATTTAGAATGGGACGGGTGGGCCTCCGGTCTTGCCACGTCCCACCATGTGCATCTGCACACGTAGGGCCAGTGATTAAATGAGACCCTGAAGCTGCACCCGAGAGGGACAGGATGTGGGGCTTGGCCTGTCCACTGGAGCACAGAGCTTCTCACAGCCTGGGGACAGCCGAATTCGAGGCTAGCCCGCCCACACCCCGCTCTGAGCCCCGCCTAGCTGGCTGCAGCCGGTCCCAGGACTGACTGAGCCTGGGTTTTCTCGAAGGCTCGAGAGGGCCCACCCGACGTCCGTGAGCCCCACAGCCCGCCTCTGCCCCGCTCTCCCCGCCCCTGCCCATGGCCCGTTGCCACCCCAGCCTGGCTCAGTGCCCCGTGCTCTCTCCCGCCCGCAGGCTACGAGGGCGTCGGCGAGTTCTTCACAGACCTGCTGAACCACGTGGCCGCCGTCCTGCAGGGCCAGAGCGCGGCCGCGGCAGCCGCGGGGGACGTGGCCCCGCTGAGGCACAGCAGGCTCCTGGCGGAGCAGGCGGGCGGCCTGGCGGCCGAGCGGACGTGCAGCGCCGGCCCCGGCTGCTGTGGCAGCAGGATGGGCCCGGACGCACCCTGGGCGGCCGAGGCCGACACGGGCGGCATGGGCGCGGGTGGCGCCGCCAAGCTGCCCCACCAGAGACTCGGCTGCACCGCCGCGGTATCGCCCAGCTTCCAGCAGCACTGCGTGGCCTCGCTGGCCACGAAGGCCTCCTCCCAGTAGCCACGGAGCCCCGGACCCAGAGGGCGGCGCGGGCCGCGGAGCATCTGCCGGGCCAGCAGCTCCCGGTGGCCACGCTCCTCCTAAGAATTCCCGGTGATCTGATTCTTTGTTGTGGTTTTGTTTTTTTGTTTTTTTAATTTTTAACCTGATTTCCTGATGTCATGATCTAAATAAGGGGTGGTGGAGGGGGAGATGGAAAAGGACCCCAAGTGGCCCAGCCTCGGGGACGATCCCTGAAACCTGCTGTGCAGCCGTCTTCACTGGGTTTACACTTGCTGCGTCTTTAACACTAGGTCTGAATGGGAGGTGGGGTGTGTGTGTGCGTGTGCACATCCACGTCTGTTCGTTTTGACGGCTGCTCTGGACCAGGCCTCGGGGTCCCCAGTGGGGGTGGGGGGGCGCCCCTGGGTCAGCCTTTTGGCGGTTGAACAGAGCGAGTGAGACGTTCCTCATCTCACTTTTCTCCAAGCCCCTCACACCCAGGCCTGGCCCCCTCCCTGTCACCCTCTGCTGGCGGCACCCACAGCGTTGTGAGCAATGGGGCCCAAGCCCCAAGCTCTGAAGAGCCAGAGGAAGCCAGAGGCACCCCTACTGTTTCCTTTCGGGGGCTCCGTGTAGGGGGTCCGGGCTGTGGTCCGCCCGTCGCCTGCTCACAGGAAGAAGGAAGCTTCCTGGGGGCGCCTAAGGCACTGAGTGGGCCTCTCCTCTCCACATCCAGCTCCCCGGAGTCCTCCAGGCCCTTTAACATGTGTCCCGTGCAGCCCTGCAAGGGGGCCTCCCTCCCTGACCAAGCACCGCTCCCCGGGGCCCCGGAGCAGGCTGCCTGGTCGGGAGCCCCCGGAGCTGATCCGCCCGTGCCAAGGATTTGTGCCGTGACTGTGGACAGACCATCCCAGGCGTTGCTGGGCCTCCATGTCCTCATCTCTGATGAGCCATTGAGACCAGAGAACTCTGAAGGGCAGGCTTGGTGCCCTAGACCCTGGTGCAGCCTGCCTCTCCGAGAAGTCAACCCGATGAGCCTCCCCTTGGCATCGGGGTGATTCGGGGCCCTCTTCCCCCAGCAGGGGGCGGTGGGGGGCTGCCTGTACGCTTCACATCTTTTCACACCACCCAGCAGGCCCGCCCCACCCTTCCTGTACTCACTGCAAGCCCCAAGCACAAAGCCAGCCAAGCGTGAGGGGGGGCTGCAGCCCCAGGGGTGAGGAAGCAGCCACCCATCCTCCCTGAGAGTGCCCCCAGCCCCTGATGAGCAGTCACCACCGGCTGATCGGTCAGCTCCCACGGTGCAGGTGGGCACACCGCCCGCCCCGCTGCACAGAAGGGGGCCAGGGAGGGGCTTTGCCAGTTCTGGGACAGCGTGAGTCTGGGTGAAATGCCTAGGACCCCCCTGAGCATGATCCCGTGTCCCGACACATCCATTCACTTTGAGGAAGGGGGAAGGGCGCCTGGGCCGTCCCGCATGGTCCAGTGCGGATGGCCCGAGAGAGGCTGCTGACCCAGGCACCCAGAGGTACCTTCGGGCCCGCCTCAGCAGGGGCGTGAGGGTCACCCACCTTTGGGAAAGGAAGGGCTGGGTGGGGGCTGCCCTCAAGCTGCGCTGGGCCCGGGCTGAGAGGACAGGTGTGGTCGGGACCACCCTGCTGCCCTGGAAACCAGGGCCCACCGACTAACTGCGTTTACACGACTTGAGTGTTGAACCCCGATTATAATGTCTGTACAGCGCCTTTCCTAGTCCAACCCTGAGCCCCGGGGAAGCAGGAAAGCGTGGCTGGCCTCTTGCACTGCTTTGTCTCCAAAATAAACTACTGAAATCAAACTGCATTTCACACGTGTTTACAAATGCTGTTGAAAGTTCATGTCATTTTTCCTGGTCTCTCAATAAAACAGCTTGACCTTCTTAAATGAAATTCCAATCCCCATCTGTCTCAGGAACAGGTGGGGGGGGTGCACTGTGACCCCCCCCCCCGATGCCGGGCTGGGGCCCCTGTCCGTACCGTGTTGCTGTGTAACTCATGTCACCCTCCAGGGTCACACGTGCTCAGGTCCAGGGCCCAGATATCCAATAACTGTTCCCCAGTGGCCTCCACGCGGGGCGGGGGGGGGGGGGGGGGAGGCAAGGCGAGCGGTTTTTCTGGAAACAGAAGCTGAGGGATGGAGTTTGACTTGGTAAAGGCCTGAGGGCAGCAGGTGGTGGGAGTGGAGGGCCCCCGCCTGGCAGCAGGCAGCGTTCCCCCCCCATCGCCCTTGCTCAGCGAGCACCGGCCATCCCTGATTTAGGGGTTTCAGGAGCACGGACGAGGAGAGGGGGCGTCAGCGCTGATGAGGCACCAGCCAGCGACCTCCGCTCTCAGGGTCACTCGGATGCATACTCCCTTTCTCGTGTCCCAGGACAACAGTCTCCGTAGAGTTGATTTCCCCTCGGGCCATGTGGTCCCCACATCAGGGGAAGACAGATCCGCTACAGTGCAGCTGCTTCCCCAAAGGCTCGGGGTGCTGCCTCTGGGTCGGAGGCCCTGGCGCCTTGCAGGCCCCCTGGGAAGGGTCTGCTCTGTGTGCACGTGTAGCACCTCGAGGCGGCCTTGCCAGGGTCACGAGGGCAGTTAGGACTCTGACTCCCAAGCCTCTGTTTGCCGGTTGGTGGGCACGTTGGTGTCTACGGCCCCCGGCACCTGTCTTGCAGGTGCTCAGTGGCTGGGGCTCCCAAAGACACTCCTCATTTCAGGGGCTCCAGGAGCAAGTGCCGGGGCCACATTTGGGCCGGGGCCGCGGTTAAGTACAGAGGGTCGTTTGCAAGGTCTCTGCCCTGGGCAGCCTGTAACAGAGGCCGTGGGCCAAGTTCTCCTTGCAGATGCTCTGATTGTCTAACGACGGGATTCCAGACATTAGGCCCCAGTTGAGTGCGGGCCCTTGAGGTCTGTCCGCTTCAAGAGGGCCCAGCAGTCTCCTGGTGGAGCGTGCTTGCCGTCGGCATTCATGGAAGTGTCCAGGTGTGCAGTAACACAGCGGGCCGGGCTGGGCCTGAAGACTCCCGGTGCGCCCTGGAGGAGGAGGCATGGTTAAAACACCCAAGGGGCTGTACGGCGCGTCCTTGAGGACGCCCTTCATCAGTGACGGAGAAGACTGCTCTGAAAGAGCTTCTCTCTAACCCAGAAGACTGTCAGGTGGGCCTCAGGGGAGGCTGAAGGGCCGTGGCCAGAAACTAGCTTCCCAGCCAGCGGGCATTGTTGGCCGTCACATGGCCACTCGGAGACCAAGGGAGACTGCATGTCCTTGCCCTCGTCTGGAAGATCGGTCCTCGACTCGGGCACTCACGCTGGCCGCTGGCCACACAGCTGGCGAATGGCTTCACTCCCGTCCCTGGGGTCTGTATCTGCCTCTCCTGTGTCCCCTGGAAGATGATTCACCCAGAGGGATCCCCGGCAGCCCCTCTGCAGGCCTGGAGCTGGGTGCTGGCTGTCCTGAAGGCGCACGGCCAGCACCTCCACCGAGGCTTACCACGAGGCAGAGAAGTTTCCGAGCTGCTCCCTCTTCTGTCTGCCCAGCCCCCCCGATGCCCCACACATCTGTCTGCTCTGCCCACGCCTGAGCCGGAGTCCGAAGTGATGTGGCTGAGGCTTCAGACCAGCGATGCTCCCATTGTCTCCACCTTTCATGAGAACGGGCCTATGCTTTGCCCCTTCCATCTGCATAGCGGGGGCCAGTGTGATGCAGTGACAATGCCCGCCCCGCCCCCCACGCCCTTCCGAGGAGAGCTGTTCCTTGGTCCCACCTGGGCGCCCTTCCTTTGCTCGGGGCCTTTTCCAGAAATGATTGCATTTTCCCTTTACTCCCGGACCTACCCTGACCTGAGGGCTTGGAGGGGCGGTTCCTTTCCCAGAGCCTGCCTGACCCCTTCCTCCGGGGCTGTATGTGGGAGCACACCTCTCCGACGCCTGTTTTCTCTCAAAAAGCTGCTCCCGTGGTGATCTCACCATGTTGGCGATTCTAGTTCTGGTGACCCCTGTGTGCTAGGGCCTCTGTCCTGTTCACAGGCAACAAGCGACGCTTCCCAGAAACCCAGATGCCTGTCCACAGTGTTTGCATGAACACACGTGCTGCATGTAAAATCACTGCTTCCGTGAAAGGCAGGAGACTTTGTCCCCGGGCTCTTCGGATGTGTCTTTACAGTTGTTGGGTGTGATTATGACAACACAGGTGGCCGTCTCTGGGATGGGTTATTCAGGGTCCAGGTGACCCATTGTTGCCTTCGTTAACTAGGCAGCAGATATTTTGATAGCTGACCGCCTAGTGGGATAGTTTGCTGTTGGGTTTGTTCCTTCTGTAAAGGTTGGGGGTGGAGTGCACCCTTGAAAACGTGTGAAGAAATAAACACCTAATGACTCTGGCTCCTTGAAGGGTGACCCTCTGTGCATCAGGGGATGGGTAGCAGCGGCAGTGGGCAGCCCCCTCCCCAGCCTCATAGGAGAGACCTCGACTTGCCAACACCATTCATGTGACTTGTATCATCATGATGGTTTTCTGGTCCAGGCTGCCTGGGCCCTTTGAACCCTCATCATAGTCAGATGAAGAAGCAGTAAGTATTATCCACATTTTACAGATGAAGAAACTGATGTTCAGAGGTGCAAAGTCACTTGCCCATAGTCCCATGGCGAACAACTTGAGCCCCACCCTTGTCCCTTTGCCCAAAGCCAGTCCCTCCCATCCCACTCTGAGTCAAGAGGGGGAGAAGTTCAGAGAAACCAAAAAGAGCCCAGAGCAGATTTATTTCTCTTTAGATAAATTTTGTACAGAATATATTACAGTCAGGAGTTCTCAGCTTTCACCAGAAGGTTAGAAGTTATTGCAGTTGTGCCCAATGGCTCTGATGGTGGAAAGGAAAATTCTAGAAAGCTGCCTGTGTCCAGAGAGAAGATAACCATTCAAAGTCGTGGGGGGTCTTGCCCCACAGAAGGGTGCAGTGGGGCTGGAATTGAGAGCAGAAGGGAAGGAGCGAGGGGGCATGGGGTGGCCTGGGCTTGGGCAGGCTGACAGCGGCCTCTCTACCAGAAGCAGCGCCCGGGCCATCTGGCCAGGACCTGCAAAGGGGACTCCAGGGCCAGGACCACCGGGTGCCTCGGGGCCCTGGCTGGGGGGCCCCAGCCAGCACGTCAGCCCCGGCGCAGCGCCTGCAGCTGGTGGGCCACCTTCTCCAGCTCCGCCTCGATGGCCAACAGGCTTTCCAGCTCCTGGTCCTAGGAGAGAACATCAAGGGTCATTCACATGGAGGGCACAGTCTGCCAGACTGGTTGTGCCACTGGCTGGCTGTGTGGCCTCGGGGGGCTTTGCCTCTCCGAGCCTTAGGGCCTTCATCCAGATCGTGGGGACAGAGATGCCACCCAGCTGGGCTGCTCTCAGGATTACTGTGCACAAGAAATGGGGGGAGCGGGGACAGGGGCCTTGACCCCACACCATCCCCGGTGGCCACCTGAATAGCTCTGGGCAGGCGCATGGAGAACAAAGCCTTCCGTGCTCTTCAGTGCTCCTTCTAAGCTCCTCACCCCAAGGCCTAAACTATGACAATGGCCCTGACCGAGAGGCCAGGCTTCCCTGCTTGAGAGGCCGTGAGCCTTTCACACAGGCTTGAGGACCTGAGAGCATCCCTGCTTCGACCTGCCTAGGGTGGGGCCTGGATCCTTAGTCCCAATCATAGGGGGCCCAGCTCTGGCTGCCAGGGTGGTTCAGGGCAGCAGGGGAGCCTTCTGGGACCCCTGCTCTGTGTCCCAGCCTCAGGAAGCTTCCAGGACCCTTGGAGCTGGGGCCGATGCCCACAATCACATGCCCTTGGACTCAGAGCAGGAGTTGGGGAGGCCATGCCTTCACCCTCGGTCTTGACCTGGGAAGGGTGGCCTTGCTGGGGTCCCTGCTAGATGCCAGGCTGTTGGGGGGCACCCACTGGGCCCATTTGGAACAGACAGACAATGGTTGTATGGAAATAGAGGCCTTAGAGCCTTCTGTCTTGGAGTAGAATTCTCTGATGCTGGATCATTTCTAAGTCCTGTCCTGTCCGCATGGCTCTGGGGACCCCATATCTCTGCTCTGCAGTCCAGGCCTTCCTTTGCCCCTGGAGAAGGGAGCTGGCAGGCATCTCAGGGCACCTTGCTCTTTCCAGCTTCTGTGGGTGGGGGATGGGCGGTCAAAGGTGCCCAGGCTTGTCCTGGTCCAAGGTTAGGGGTGAAGGGCAGTCCCCTGGGAACGTAGAGGGATGACCTCTCCTAGCTCCCACCTCCAAGGAGTCTTCTTCCTCTAAGGCCGCCGACTCTGGTCCCAGCCAAGGGAGGGTTGGGACCCAAGGAAAGGGCCACATCCTTTTCTGGGTGGGCAGAGAGAACTGGGGTCGTGGATAGGTTCCAGTCCCCCGCAGGGCCCCGATCTCTACCTGGACACTGAGGCCGGAACCATGGACCCCGAAGGTCCAAGGTCGTGTTGCCAGCCAGGCAGCGACCTCCAACTCCCACCTCCTCACCTCTGGGGCTACATCCCAGCACCCCATTGAGCTAACCAACTATCCCTGGACATGGCCAGGGTTTGAAAGCTCATGTGTGTGCTGACCATAATAATGAGGTGAGCAGAAAGGACTCCTTACCCTCATTGGACAAACAGGGGAACCAATGAGGCTCAGAGAAGGGGAGTGGCCTGCCCAAGGTCACACAGCCAGGGAGCGGCAGAACCAGGTGTCCTGGCGCATCCATGCCTCCCTCACCCACTCGCCACCAGGCCCCGAGGTCCGCTGGCCCTGGCGTTGCCCCAGTGGAGGCAGGCGGGGTCTGAACCTAGGAGGAGGGTGTGCCTGGGCTGCCTGCAG